AAATGTGTTGAAATATGGGTATAAAGTATCTTACATTTACCCAAGATTAAGTACTCAGGCAGACAGACGCAGCCTGGAATTTTAGGTATTCTGGTATATTGAGTCAGTATTCTCGAGTATATTGGTATTCTGCATGGTAACCCTCTGGCTAATTATGAGAAAGTTCTTGGTTACTTTAATCAATTTTCCTTTATCAGAATGATCTATCATGTGAACAAAAGCCATCTTGAGTGAAAGCAGCTTCACGCCCATAGATTTTCGTAGCTATAATAGATTTTCGTCTTTTCTGATCTAGTGAAAAGAACCAAAGGCCAAGTAATCACGGAAAAAGAAGTCCTAGTTGGGACAGCGGTCAGCATCCTAAGAAGCGAGTACGTCGTGATAGCCAGCGTGATAAGTTTGAACACAAGAAACGTAAAACCACAGCAGAATTGAATGCAGAATGTGAAGCTGATATAAGGTGAGATGAAATAATGTATCATAATCTAAGACAAAAGGCAACATCACTTGGCGAGTAGAATGTCAACTTGTGCAAAGGAGGCTATCAGATTTATTGAAGAGTTTTCTAGAGTGTAAATTTTACGGATGCTGCGAACATGCACGTGAACCTAATGTTTGCGTGTCTGAAATGAATCAGATGTCAGGATTTTTTTGGCCATCTCGCATGGTAATTTCGAGTGTATATTTTATACATTTATTTAGACCTAACCAGGAGAAGCTGCGAGAAATACAACTACAGTATAGGCCTTCTATTAGGGAGCGGTCACTAGATAGCTTAAGATCTACGACGTCGACGTCAGCTAGGACGCCAGGGCTAAGCAGAGGACTGGGACTAGGACGTCATCGTGAATAAGTCGATAGCTCAAGTGTCTACGACGTCGAATATTTAGGCCGGCAAGCGGAAGTAAATTGGTATAGTTTTTGAAGTGTGCATGTGTCTCTCTCAATTTGCTCGTCGTTCACCAAACGTCGACAACCTCACAACACAAGAGTTTTACCGTCGTGGATACAAGAGCACAACAAACGGTAATGGATTCACACGTCTCTTTTAAATTCATTTTCAAAAGGATGTGAATATTTATAGTTTAAATGTCTACGTCGTGAATCTTAGGTGGAAGTTTATTTATTTAGGACGACGTCCTAGTCCTCTGCTTAGCCCTGACGTCCTAGCTGACGTCGACGTCGTAGATCTTAAGCTATCTAGTATTTATGGGGGGGGGGGTGACACCGAAGAGAAAAGGGTTGGGTAAACAAAATTTTGAGTAAGTAAAAGGTTGGGTAAATGAAAAACAAAACAACCCAAGGGTTGGGTAATAAAAAAATATTGTTACTTCCAAAGCATGACTCACTCAAATATTGGAGACTGAAAAGCAATATCAACAGTGATATGTCAATACAATATGTGAATCAATCAGAGCATTTCTATAAACTGTGATCAGAGTCGCTATCTTGACCATTTTCCGATTTGTTGGGAGACAAATGATGTCTCCAAAGAAACTACATGTGCAGACAGTATGAAACTTTAGACTGCAGAAACGTTATCAAACTCATGTCACAGAAGTGATAAAGGACATGTGTGACAACTGACTGGTATCCTTTTCTTCGGTAAGTTTTTTTGCCAGGGGTGGGTATTTATTTTTTAATTGATATTCGAGGTTGGGTTATCAAATGTTTTGACTTTTTAATGATTGGGTCAGCAAAATTTTTCCCACGAAAAACATTTCTCTTCGGTGCCACACTGCCACCCCCACCATGAATCTCTTCGGTGCCACCCCCACCAGGAATCGAAGTGGAGTATATACACATGAACGTTCGGTTAGAGCTCGACTAGACTCTGTACATGCAGTATATGTAGCTCAGTTGGTTATAGAGCGCTGCACCTGAAAGGCAGTGCCGCCGGTTCGATTCCTGCCTGGGGGCCTATATAAACCCATTGCACTGACGTCACAAATTCTTAAAGTGTCCTCCAGATGCTCCCTAACAATATCTGTCCGGGTACAACAACCACATACAGTGCAAAAATTAACCATTTTAATACAAAATTATTATAAAGTTTTACAAAAGTTGCTTTGTTTATAGAAGTTATATTATGCATAGATTGCTAATTTGTCCTCCAGATGCACCGGCGCTGTGACGTCATGTGCAATGGGTCTATAGTTGCCGCATTTCTTGTAGCTTGTCCTTGTTAGATCTAAATAAATGCCGTGTAAACAAGATTTTACAGTTTACAATATGACCACATTCGATAACTAGATTATTGAAGTAGCCTACTAGAAGATAACTGCAGATGTAAAAAGAGATAACTACTTTGTAGTAAGAAACGAAAGCGGACTTCAATGCTACCCTTCCAAAAACAATTACTGAAGTGCAATGTGCAAGATAGTCAGATAGTGAGTTGTCGGTACAAAATAGCTACGGAGTTTTCTTGTGTTGCTAATCTTTACCTCCTTTGGTGCTGTGTAGGAAAGTGGAACCAGATGCACATCTCCTTCAAGCAAAGACTTTGAAACGAGAAGCAGATAAATTGGTATGTACATACATTGTACTTTATGTACATACATTGTACTTGGCAACATACGTAAAATATGCATGGTACTCTTAACAACAATTGGATAAATAAATTATAATTATACTTTCAATTTTAACCAGACGGACAAAGAAGCTAAAAGTCGAACTTATGTCGAAGCCATTATTCGTTTTATCTGCTGTGGAAAGGCACTTGAGGTGAGATGTACATGACAAATGGTTTCTGCGCGACATGCTTGTATTTTTACCATTTTGCAGGTTGCCAAAACTAAATTTACAGGTGTCCCCGCGCACATTGCAAGCGAGGCAAATGAACTGAGAAGGCGTCGGTGGAAAATGTTCAGAAATTAGGCCTTGGAACGTCAATTAGGGTTATAGGAATCCACGTAGTCGTAGGCCTTGAGTTTTTTAGAAAAGACACCTATTAACTACGGGAGAAAATGATGCAAATCTGACAACAGCGAGTATATGCAAACGGATACTGGGAAATTTCTAATATGCCATTGCGCACAGGACCTTCTTCTATCCTCATGAGTGTTTATAGGGATTGGCCTTTTTATATTGCTATCCAGTACAAATGAAGGTAGTTAGGTAGTTGTAAAATCAGGATATAATTAAAAACAAACAAGCATATATACTTATGTAAACGTTTACGTTTCTTGTATATCCGCAGTCCGCACATCTACATGTCTTGCGCTCCTCCCCTTCAACAATGGTCGGGGTTTTTTAAACTTCCTTGTTTCAATTTGACCGAATTTATTTGTATCCATAGGATAGAGAAGATGGTGAACTTCGTGCTGGTCAGATGTATTCTGAGACAACTGAACTGCTAAGGTTAGTAAGTTCTTATAATTTTGTAAGCTATGAGAGATCTTTCATTTGTCTACAGCACTGGAGTTACCAACAGAAATGAATATCTTTTACATTCATCTCGTGCTTGCGACTTTCCTCTTCCATTGAAGAGTCATTTCATCCAATCACAGTGCTCGACAGTTTATTTTAATTAGATGCGAGCTTGTGAGTTGGTTTTTGCGATGAGAGGAAAAAGAGGCCAGTACACAGTAAAAATTGCACATAAATTCCTTCAATAGCAATTATGTATAAATCAATGTACAGTAGTACAGTAGATTAGGAAAACAAGCGAAGTCTCAGTTACCCGCGTAATTATCAATTATCAGATGTGGTGGGAGGTCGAGGGACAATATACATGAAAAATACAGTTTGAGTTAATGGCAATGGCACTGCAATAAGCATGCAATCTTTGAATGCTTTTATATTATCTCAACTTCGTGTTTTAAATATTTGACTCTAATCTTCTAGATTTATCCTGAAACACGTTCTGGGTAAGACAGAGGACAAACGACTCTTAATATTGTGGTGAGTATACTACTTTATGTGTTGATCTGGTACTGTACTTTTAATGTGTATGATGTTTCCTTTGACTTGAAGTATTCTTGTGTTGTAATTTATCTCGTGTTTTTCGCCATAGCTTGCGAGTTCAATCCTTACTACTGCACAAATTGTATCGGATGAAAGGCAAACAAGCTGTTAGAAATACACAGGTAACGTTTTTTATTTATGCTATTTTTGTAATGTATTTGTGCTGTTTTCTTATTTTCTATTTTGTGTCGGCCTGTTGTTTGTTTGTTTGTTTGTTTGTTTGTTTGTTTGCTTGTTTGCTTGTTTGCTTGGTTGCTTGCTTGCTTGTTTGTTTGCTTGCTTGCTTGCTTGCTTGCTTGCTTGCTTGCTTGCTTGCTTGCTCGCTTGCTTGCTTGCTTGCTTGCTTGCTTGCTTGCTTGCTTGCTTTGCCTGTCTGTCCACAATTCTCAAACGTTTTATTTTTTGTTTTCAGACTTTAGCTGAACATTTTAAGGTAAAGGAAGTTTTGCTCATTCGATTTTCTGCTATTTATCGACTCCTGTCCCACTGCATGTTGCCAAAAATTGAAGCTGTGGCTTGTTTGTTATTTGTGATGTCTCATATTTAATATTTAATGTTTGTAGTTTTATATCGGTGTCTCAAAGATATTTCATTGAACGTTACTGATGCAAAATAATTTTTTCTCACTATTCAGGCAACACACAAGAATAGCATGACGTCTCCTTACACAAGTAGTAGTACCACTAGTAACAAGTAAGTCAATTCATTATTTATAACTTGTATTTAACAGTTATTCTACGAACTCGAGTCGAATATGAGACTTTGCTTTTCGGATATTTTCAATATTTTTTCTATTTTGTTTATGAAATCTTCGCTCTTTCGGCCGATTATTTTTTCAAAAATATATATTTTTAACCATTTTCAATTTTAAAAATTCATTTCCTAACCTGTAAACAATTTGCGGGAGTTTTTTCATTGTATTTTTAATCCTGTAAAGGCTATAAAAAGCGAACAACTTGCCGTTTTCTCGTTCGCAAAACGTCGGAAATTCAGTTTGAGCCGCCATTTTGTTTTTCTCTGCTAGCTGGATATGAGCTAATATCCTGCTAGTAGAGAACCAATCAGATTGCAGAATACCTCATATCCAGACCTTGCGTATATAATAATATATATTATCCCAAGGTGGATAAGTATCGGACCATGGGATCCCATTTTAAGTTACCGGAAAATATTTGGATGGGGGGGAAAGAATGAATGAATGAATGAATGAAACAAGGAAAATAGATGGATTGTATTACAGTGCAGGTATGAGGTCAACAGAGGCTTGGAAAGTGAGGGTGGTTAAGTTTAACAACTTAAATAATGTGTATTAAACTTGACTCGATAACCTATGGCATTTACGCTTCGTTCTCCTGTTCTTGCTAGTTACAGGCCGGAATATGGGCAGAATTTTTTTTTGTTCTGCCACAGTGGTCACAGAAAGGAATTATTTTTCAATTACTGTTAATATAACCCATTGCCCTTCTGTATATTTATTTTCTTCTGAGAGATAAGAATCTTGAGTCGTGATATGATTTCTGAGACTCAAAGTTGTAATCGAAATGGTGAAATTTTACAATTATCCAAAATGCTCAAAAAGGTCATAAAATCTAAAAACAGAGTTGAAACCTAAGAACAACGTGTATTTATATGATGTGTTCAATTTTCAGACATGGTAGTACTCCAACACCTATGTCCCCCACACCCTCGCCAGCCGGTAGTGTTGGCAGTATAGGAAGCAATGGGAGTAATAGTAGTGGTGAGGGTAATCACAGTCAAAATGGACGTCATGCATCTACAGCATCAGTGACGTCACCTGTCTCGGTCTCAATCCCCCAGAAGATACACACTGTGATGGCGCAACATGTGTCGAATACAAGTAAACTAGTGAACAGTATTGACTTGTGGGATAGAGCTGATAGTCTGACGTCAGATTATCAAGGTAAGATACCTTTCCATTGAACAAAAATATCAATTTGAAATGTTTGAAACTATACCTGCTGATATTAGGAACATATGTGACTATAATTTATTCTGTAACGTTATTAGGGATTATATTAGAAAACAATACTTTTAATCACAGATTTTAATCCGCATTTTGTATAAACAATCTACATATATATATATATATATATATATATATGATTTTGTACTTTTTATACCTAATTTGTACTGTAGATATTGTAGATGAAGAGTCATATTTTCTATGGATATGCTGCAATAAATTCATTATTATTATTATTATTATTATTATTATTATTATTATGTTTGCAATCTTCAACACAAATCTCTTTTTAATGCATGGTTTATCAATGCACGACTGAAAATTAAGAAATATTCTGTTTGTTTAATATCGAGGTAGCTGTCACTTTTTAAAACCTTTTAATAATCAACTGTTCTATTTTTATTAGAATTTTTTACAACCGTGGATTCCATTTGCGGAGCCTTAACATTTCACAGGTGAGATCATTTAATATTCTTATTTACCGTGTCTGTATGTTCAGTCATTTTGAAGCCTATATTACTTGTAAACGCACATTTAGTATAGGTAATCACACGGGAAGGAGTGCAATTAATGATTAACACTACGAGTGATATTTGAAAAATGTGCCAAAATTGCACGAGCCGCCGAGGCGAGTGCAATTTGGCACATTTTTCAAATATCACGAGTAGTGTTAATCATTAATTGCACGACTTGCCCGTGTGATTATTTATTTATTATATGCATGACAAAATCGCTTTCTTTATATTTCAACTGCATTTTGTCAAGAGTTTTTAATTCTTTTGTAAGCAATTTGGTATAAACAAACTTGGGAAATGATTATAAACTCATAAAGGCACATAACTTAAACTAGAACACAAGATTCAAACTCAAACAACATATTTTAGACTAAGAAAATCTTTATAAATTGTATTTCAAACTTACATAGTCACGTTTCGCTGCATCCCGCCAAGATTACTTCTTAAGACTGTTTCCAGGTATTTTCCACAGGCTCTTTTTGCCATACAATGTTTCTTAAACTCATTTTTGTGCCAAAATTCAGTTAAATTCGTCCACATTTGTTAGAAATACTTATCTAAATTTCGCCGCCATATTGGATTTTGTTGTTTTGATTTCCCGCTCCCCCCAGCCATTACGAAAATCATTAATTGCACTCCTGGAGAGTGCAATTAATGAAATAATTGCACTCCTCTTAACCAATCAGATTGCAGTAATTTTGTCATGTATATAATAAATGTATTAACCCATTGAGTGGCAGCACTCTCCCCCTGACGAGTAAAATCGTCCGGCGTTAGACAGAGTAAAGTAATAAGGTAAGGCGCATCTGGGCGCATTGCCACTTAAAGGTTTAACAGGGTGCATGGGCAGATAGTGTGATTATCCCATTGAGTGGCAGCACTCTCCCCCTGACGAGTAAAATCGTCTGGCGTTAGACAGAGTAAACTAATAAAGTAGGGCGCATCTGGATGCATTGCCACTTAAAGGGTACTGCATAATGTCTTATGGTGTGAAATGCGACTTTTGAAAATTTAGGTTTATCTTTTAGATATTTTATCTTCACAGTAGATTTTCCATTTAAATAATCTTTTTCTCCATTTTTAGCTCAATCCCACATATTGTAAGTTATGTAAAGAATAGCTTATCGACTTTACACGAACACGGTAAAGGAACGTAATTATACCACCTTCGCTTGGCCGTATTTCCACGAGAGGCGAAGACCAATGTAATATGAAAATGACAGGAAAGGTTATTCCTATTATAAACAATATTATTAGCAATAGTACATCTAGTGTTATTGTGAATTTTGCCCTTTGTAAGGGCTGCTTGCTGTAGCAGAAAAATATTGCTGACGGTATGTACAGTACCTAAAATATCAACACGTTTTGTGATTGGTTTTCTGAAACAAAAGTGATAAACAAAAGTGATCAGTGTTTATGCTCGTTCTTTAGAAAGATGATTTCTATTAAAAGTGCATTGTCTTTTATTGTCATGATCAACCAATCACAAAGCCTGGATGTAGCCGATAGGATGATTCATCAATGTTACTGTAATTTCGGCCAATCGTATTTTGGGTCGTTGTTCCTAACATAAGCTCCAAGGGCAATTGATAAAACTAGAATAGTGAAGCGAATAGTGCGAATAGTGCGAATAGTCGACGAATAGTACGAATAGTCCGCGAACAGTCGACGAATAGTGCGAATAGTCGACGAATAGTGCGAATAGTCCGCGAATAGTCGACGAATAGTGCGAATAGCCGCGAATAGTCGACGAATAGTACGAATAGTCCACGAATAGGCGACGAATAGTACGAATAGTGCAATAGAGACTTTGCAAGGCTTTGCAGCAGTGCTGTAGAACTAAATTTACCGGGGGGGGCTCTGTTGACAAACATGAAATCGTGAAAACATTCGTCGACGTACGTCAATGACGTCATACGTCTAGTGATTGTCATCAGTGGCGCCGTGGCCGGGGGGGGGGGCATGGCCCTCCCCTATTGTTGACACCCGTCGTAAAATTGCCAATGCTGCCGGAAATTGTCGGAAAATTGTCAAGGCTGTCGGAAATTGTCAAAGTTGTCGACGGGGGGGGGGGTGAAGATTTAAAATGTTGTCGTCCGGAAAACTTTTTGGTTTGTCGGAAAAATTTTTCGGTTTGTCGGAAAAGTACTGCCCTTGCCCCCCCCCCCAAAAAAAAAACATGGGTCCCACGGCGCCACTGATTGTCATTCTACTTCCTGTTAAATATTTGTTAAAACTCAGTGGTCCCGTAATTTTTACCGATTACGTATGACGTCATTGACATCAACGAATGTTTTCACGATTTCATGTTTGTCAATAGAGCCCCACCGCCCCGCTTCGGTAAATTTAGTTCTACAGCACGGTGGAAAGCCTTGCAAAGTCTCTATTGCACTATTCGTGGACTATTCGTACTATTCGTCGACTATTCGCGGACTATTCGCACTATTCGTCGACTATTCGTCGACTATTCGTACTATTCGTCGACTATTCGCGGACTATTCGCACTATTCGTCGACTATTCGCGGACTATTCGCACTATTCGTCGACTATTCGTACTATTCGTCGACTATTCGCGGACTATTCGCACTATTCGTCGACTATTCGCGGACTATTCGCACTATTCGTCGACTATTCGCACTATTCGCACTATTCGCTTCACTATTCTAGTTTTATCAATTGCCAGCTCCAAGCAATTACAATAACAGATTTATAATTTTTATGTAAAAATTTCAACTTCGTCTTCCCTCTTTTATGTAAGACATTTTACATTTGTGCAAAATTTGACCTGAATGTTTTTCAGTTTTGTTCAGTTTCTGATCTATGTAACATTTAGTAAAGGAAGACCTCGGCGTTCGGCAATTGCATGTTGAGTCATCCTCGTGCTGTTGTTTTTAGTTCACTTTCGAATTTTTATACTAAGATATCAAGGACATTCGTCAGCAACTTTATGATCCTCAGTGATAAGCACATTATCTTGCGAGGTGTGTACCGTCGCAGGATTTTACATCTCCGATTACGACGAAACATTTTTGAAAGAAATTGAGTTCCCGCAAAAAATCATACAGTAAACTTGTTGTCAATAATTTAGTTCTGGCAGCAGGCATCAGATTTTCAAACTCTATACTGTAGCAAGTGGACTAAAACCAACAGTATACATTCCACATTGAAATATTGATCAAGGATTATATATGCATGGCCTATATTTCAACATACTGACAGCATTAGCAAGCTCGTTTATTGGTAATACATTGTAGATGTTTGGGTATTTTTGTACGTTTAGTCCATGGGTTGTGAGTGGTATGTATATGTGTGTAACAATTATCAATTAAAGAATATGTATATACAATTCATGCATGCGCCTTTGTTACTGTATATTATCTGAAGAAGAGGATTTGTATGTTAAATATGTTCCATTCGGTATACTATCATCTGCTTACAGACAGATTGCAAATTAGAATTACTCGTTACCTCGTTGGATCTGTGTGCATATATATTCCAAATATTGCAAGGCACAGTGCCTATGCCTTTCATCACGATTCTATATGCAGTTGTCTGATTAGGTCTGCTTGCATCAAATGCCACCAAACTCTGGGTCCTCCAGATTTCTTTTCCAGAGCCATGTACTATAGGGAAAGCAGTTGAGACCATAGTCACTCAAAATATAGTCTGATTCGGCAAACCTCAAAGTCTCTATGATGGACTACGATTTTATATTGAGACGGCTTCACCTTGCAAAAATCTTTTGAAATTTGGCTTATAAATATTTCAGCAGTCGAATGATTCGACGCGATGATGCCATTGGCTGATTGTCTTTTTATGCCAAAAATACATTACATGCACATTCATTCTTCATCCTGCACAAGCGTGCATAAACATGAACAAAAATTGAATAGACTTCACCTACACTGCAGAATATGATCAACAGGGACATATTTAACATACGAATTCATCCTCTTCGATATTGTTTTTAGAATTATTTATTACTCCGTTAAACTACCGTATCATTTCATTTGAGACAAAATCACTGCAGACAAAAAAGTAATAACTCAATTTAAGAGCAACTTTAAAATGTGACGTCATCTGACGACATCGCCAACTTAATTTACTTCTCATCTAGTACACCTGAAATAGTCGCCACAAGTTGTGGTTGTGTAAATGTATCGCGTTTTCGTGATGTTATATAATGTAAATATAATCTGTCGTGTCACAGGACATTTATTTTTCGTGTGGTATTAGGATATTTTTATGTTGAAACATATTTCTTTATTTTGTGTGGATGAAACATTTTCTCAGTCGAACCCTCTGACTTAGTATAGTAAAGAATAATAGACTCACATGGTCAAATTTTTGTAAACAACAAAAATTGATCATGCATGGATTGAATGAGAGGCTGTGTATCCCCTTTTGGTATATCTACTGATATTTTCCAATGTACGAATCAGACCGAAGTCATAAATTGGTTCCAAACACTCTTAAAGTCATGCCTTCAATTTTAATTATTTAATTAAAAATAGAAAATGTTTCGTCTATTAAGTAAATATTTTGACCAAGAATATAAATGACTATATATTGTTATGAATAAATATTAAATATGTACAACGAATGAGCCGAAGTTTTTGTTTTTTTTCTTTTTACATTGAAAACGTCCCATCGACTTAAAAGCGTGGCTTTTTTATTCTGTTTTAATGGTAGCAATGAAGTTCAACCTTTTGACTATTTTGAGTTTCCTTCTAAACAGGTTTTTTTTATATCCTAAAAAGCATATTTGAGTTTAACTCACCTCTCCCAGAAACCGGGAATAATGTCTTCAAGGAAGACGAACGCCACAGATTTCCTTGTTTCAAAAAAAGGCCCTTGTGGTTTATTTGAGTTTGTTATATTCCTCTAATTTACAAATTGTTAAAAAAATCATTGAAGCAAATCCCTAAAATGTTCATTTCTCTGCACCACTCTCCTTCATAGAGGCTTTTGGAAGGGCACTAGATGGTAATTTCTCTTCCTCCTTTCCGCCTTTCATCTTGCACACTTAGTGAAAGCACAGAAATCAGAAAGCCTCTGCGGAGGAGAGATCCTTGGCAGAAACGAGAAATTGATTAGTGTATCCATCCAGGTAATAGGCTTGACGGGCCTTCACAGGATAGCGAAATTACGATCGAGAGAGTTTCCCCTTTATGCAGAACCACCTTCCCACGTCTTCCAGAAATCGGTTTAATTAACTAGTTTTACTAATAACAAAATTGTCTATGCCGATATAACCTTAACCCTTTGCACGTCCTTCAGATTCTATTCATTCTGGTGGAGTGTGAGCAAAGGTTGTGTAGTTCAAAATACCCGATCAAATAATAATCAGAGGCATATTATAAGGCGTCCATAATTATCAGCAATTTGACAAGAGCACTCTTTCGACTCCGTCAACCACCACCTACAATGTACTCTTAATAAATGTTCAATAACAGGGATGATGACGATGAGTCTATAGTCTCCCCCCACCCCAATAAGCTGAAAATAATGATAATTATGAATGACCCCTAAAGAGGAGAAGTATCAGAACACCAACTTTCCCTTGCTGTCGATGCAATGGAAGTATTGATAAAATTGCACCAATTCCTTTCCTCAAGTTGATCAATTCATTTGATAGAAAATTGATCAACTTCCTAATACTTTTAGATGAGCCAATTAGATTTCGTTTCAGAACCGATTGACCAATAGGAAACGCACAGGAAGTAAAAAGAAATTTGAATTCGTATGAATTGATCAACTTGAGGAAATGAATTCATGCAATATTTTATCAACAATTCTATTGCATCGACAGTAAAAAGCTATAGTCACTGTCACTGCATAAAAAAGGATGAAGATCATGACGTAGTTGTAGAGAGAATTGTCAATCTTTAAAGGCAACCAAAAATACAATTTATTTAGCTTGCAATATCAAGCACGTTTTATTTTTAATCTTTCAACGTCCACATACGTACATGTATATCATTAAATGAATAAATCGTATGTATACAGAGATAGCATGCATATATTATTGTACCAAATTATACACTTCGATTTCAGAAGCAGTGACAGGGTTCGTAGCGGTCTTTGAAATCCTTGAAAGTCTTTAAATTGGAATGGAGGTCTTTGAGGTCTTTGAAAAGTCTTTAAATTGTGTGAAAAAGCGAAGAAAGTCTTTAAAAGTCTTTAAATTCTTTAGTGAGGAATTGATTATACGATTTCGTAGCTAATAAAATAGATTGATTGAATCAAGATTTTCGGAAATATCGACGAAAATGCGCATTTTAGGATGTGATTTGACGGGACTAATTACTGGGTAAAAATGGTGCTTACACTCGCAATTTTTCGACAGCTGATTGCTCTCAAAGGTCTTTGAAAAGTCTTTGAAAATAGGCAGAAAAAATCTTTGAAAGTCTTTGAATTTTTTTGGTCTTGGAGACTACGAACCCTGAGTGAACATAAAATTGCCAGCCAAGAGTTGATTGGCTTTCGTTCCACCACCACGATAGCCTCGAGGTGCTTGGTAGGTCACACCGAAATTTGTAAAACCAGATTTAGCTGATCCAAACTGCTGGCTTAGTACACTTAAATCTGGACTAGATCCGAAACGTGGTCCAGATCCACCAACCTCGATTGCACCAATTGTATTGGGATCCTTCAGTGGAGCTTTGAATGGTTTCAACTTGTCTTTGTTGCGCAGAGAGAAAATGAAGGAATTAGGTGCCCTCTTGTAGATCAATACACCTGTTCAAACATTTATCAAACATGAATTTCAAACACTGCATCAATTCTGCAGAGTAGGGGGAAAATCATGGGCGTACGGGAAGGAAAAAATTAGGGGGGCGGAAAGAAATTTGCCCGACTGTTTCGGATTGTGCCCGAGTTGTCAAAAAGTTGAGAAACTTTCCAAAATTGTTGTCGACGGGGGAGGTACAAAATTCCTATTAGATAGCATATTTCCCACAAAATTGACAGAATTTCCCACAAAATTGACAGAATTTGTCCCATTTTTATAAATAAGCCAATATTGCCCGACTGTGAAGCGAATATTGCCCGACTGGCTTTGTTTGCCCAACAGCCCAGTCCTGGTCTTTTCGCTTCCGCCTCATTATTTTAGGGGGGAAATCGACAAGGTTTGCAGGTTGACCTGTCCCAGTTCGGATGTTTTGCGAAACGGACAGCCCGCAAGTTCGGTTCATGATAGCCTGTAACTCGCCCCCGCTTGGAAGGCCAGGAACTAGACTGGGAAAATACTAAATTAGGTACAGAGCTGCCCAAACTACACGCCGAATATCTGTAATAATAATAATAATACTACTAATAATAAATAATACATAGTCTTTTACGATTTCACTGAACAAATGGTATTCTAAAAGGTCATCTATTTAAATTAGATTAAAATAAATAAAATTAAATTAAAAACAAAGATAAAAGTTAAAAACTAGAAAATGTACAAAGTCAATAGGACTCTAAAGTAGTTGAAACTATAAATTGTCACTGTTCAGGAACTTTTTAGATTCCTTGCGAATATATAATATAAAAGTTTAAAACTAGAAAATGTCAATAAAACTATAAATTAGTTAAAACTAATTGTCACTCAGGAACGTTTTAATTAAGATTTCTTATGAATATAGCGTATGCTTTTACGTCATCGGGTAGAGAGTTCCAATCTTGGGATGCTCTAAAGTATGTGACTCGTTTTCCCAAATCAGTTCTTTCTTTGGGAAGAGTCGGCGAATTACTAGTTCGCATGTTGTGACCTCGAAAAGTGCCTAGAAAACGATTTTCATTAAGCATGTCTTAGATTTGAAATATTTTTACGGGAACTAACACTTTCGAACATGCTGAGTTCAAATCCGAAAAGTTCCCATTCCGTAGACCCGCAGTTTTCTCACAAAATGCTATTTTGTCTTCACCAATTTCACAGCACATTTTTTCATTGTTCAACGACACGGACATCCTCGGTCCCAGGGCCTCACGGCTGACACTGCGTTGCCGGAGGCCCTGGCGAAAACCAAAACCGGAACTTCAAAAATCTTGTAGTTTGCCCACAGGGGGTCCAACTAACAGCTGTGTTATGAATAAAACATATTAATTAAACGTAATATGAATAAAACATCATAACGTAATATTGCACTTACTTGTATAAATCATAAGAGCTTGCATTTTAATACAGTGAATAGCTTCAAAAACTTGCTTCGTTCCAAAGACTTCAAATATGGCGAATAAATTGACAAAACGATAATATTACATGACGTTCCAACGAAAATAACAGAAAGGATTGCGGGCGCGAGCGGAAGGCGAGGGTAATATATATTAATAGAAGGGATGAAACACCGGTAATGCGATCGTGTGATGTGTTCCATAAGTAGCCTGTTCTCTCGGAAAATTCCAAAACGCCTCCTGCCAACTCCAACAACGCCTAAGCGCTTAAATAATGAAAATAAACAATGTTTAGCTATACCGGCTAATATGAAATGTTTAAATGTAGCGACCAACGGTTTTTTTTACATTATTTAGTTTTATTATTATTTCGTCATACGTCACGAGAACAGGCTACTTATGGAACACATCTCGCGATAATGGCCCAGAATGCTCGCTGTTATAAATCACATAAATTAGATTGATCAGTGCTTTTTTGGTAATGACTAGGCTTGTTCATGTAAGAGAACATCGACTGAGCCTTAAAAAACCCACAAAAAGCTTAAACGGATAGTCTAGAAGCATTTAAAAAAGTCACGTGATATTTGTTTCATCCCTTCTATTTATTTCTTTCCTCGCCTTTCCGCTCGCGCCCGCAATCCTTTCTGTTATTTTCGTTGGAACGTCATGTAATATTATCGTTTTGTCAATTTATTCGCCATATTTGAAGTCTTTGGAACGAAGCAAGTTTTTGAAGCTATTCACTGTATTAAAATGCAAGCTCTTATGATTTATACAAGTAAGTGCAATATTACGTTATGATGTTTTATTCATAACACAGCTGTTAGTTGGACCCCCTGTGGTTTGCGACGTTATGCCCTTGCGTGAGGTCAAGTTCTGGCTAAAAGTAATTGTTTTACATTTTGAAAGGACGTATTTAGTTGTTTTACAGCATTTGTTTTGCTTTAAATTTCCAAAAAAGGTTTACTCAAAAGTACAATTTTTCTTTATTTTAACTGAAAATAAGCCTGCAGATTCATGAATTGATAGCTGTTCACCCGAGAAAAAAAGTTAGTTGTAATAACTGTTTAGGTGCTTTAATTTAATGTCGATGTTTTTAATAATTTAATCGTTGTTGCTCTGTTTGGATGAGTGTAAAGATTCAGTATTAAAATTCATTTCCGTACTTGCTTTGTGTGGTCGATTTTATTCAAATCTGCGAAAATTTTAAGCCATTCTTTACTCGATAATTCACAATAAAATAATGTCTTTTAATGAAAGCTGGAATACATGAAATTGCAGCGTACGTATGTTATCTTTATTCAGCTAGCGCATCAGTTGTGTTTTTATGTTTATTTGTAATAGTCTTAATACTTTGAGTTTTTATACTTCATCTGTTAAGAAAGGCGAGTGGTTGCTGCATGCATGTATCTGTTAGTCATATAATAAAAATCCCATTGATTGGTTTGGCACATAATCCTGCTGAGCATAATTTCACACTTTTTTCGAAAAACCTCCAAAATTCGTAAAATACACGGACGGATTATATATGTCAAACCATTGTAATATTACAGACCAATCGAACTATATACATGAATAGTCACGGTACAGATCAATCGAACTATATACATTAGATTAAAGGACAAAACACCGCTAACTGCATTTCTATAGACATTTCGACCAATAACCCTAAGGTGTCCGAGACAAATATGTCCCCTCGTTTCTGCTATCAAATGTGATTTCACGCGGTCTCCAAAAATAGACGAAGTACGTGAAGTAATACGCTGTGCTAATAATGAATTTGTCAATCTGGTTGAAACTTGGCTACAGAGTCACATTCACGAAATGTTATCAATATACAAGGGTATAACTCAATTCGTAGAGACAGGGTCGAAGGCACCCATGGTGGTGTTTGTGTTTGTATTAAAGATTCCATAGCTTTTACAGTGCTTGATAAACTTTGTAACAGTTCATTTGAAATATTGTGGATCAACATCCGACCCAATAGACTACACAGAGCTAGAATTACTAACCTGTTAGTTGGCACAGTATACCACCCTCCCAGCGCAGACAATTCAGACATGTTGGACTATCTTTCAAATTGTTGTCACTAATAGAGTCGCGTTTTCCCAACTGTGGCCTTATTACCCTTGCTGCATGACTTTAATAAGTTAAACGTGTCGAGACTAAGATCGAGTTATAATCTGAAACAACTAGCTCGTAAATGTCCCCACTCGTGGGAATAAAACGCTCGATATAGTCCTAACAAACCTTAGCATTTCTTACGACAAGCCTATCAAATGTGTTCCGTTTGGTTTATCCGATCACATGACCATTGAGACCAGACCAATAATTAAACGATCACAAGTTCAAGGAACCTCAACAGCATCAATAAAAGTGAGAAACTTGAGACCTAGTTCTCGCGTTGCTGTAAGGAAATATATATAGAGAGATGGTAGACATTCCCACCTTGCTTAACACAGGCCTCTCGTGTAAAGAAAAAAGATCCTTATTCCAAACAATAATTAACAATGGGTTGGATTCAATTACTCCGCTACGTAATAGAACTGTCAGATTAAATGAACCTCCATGGATGAGCACAACATTGAAAGGTCTAAGGAAACGACAAAAAGCCCTCGACCAGAAACGGACCACAGGATTTAAAAGGCTAAGAAATAAATCAACCGCCAAAGGAAAAAATGTCGGGCAAGATATTACGAAAATAGCGTTCACCATTTAAAACAGTGTAAACCATCAGCATGGTGGAATGAGGTTAAAAAGCTTAGTGGAATGAATGTAATCAGGGAAACCTCAGATGAAATTGAGAAAGCGTTAAGACCAGGGGACGACCCTTCTAGCTCAGATAAAGGAGATTTAGCCAACGAGATTAATAACGCCTTTTTGCATGGCCCCCATGGCTAGATATGCGCCGTTATCTTCAGTACCTCGTCAACATTTCATTCAACCTGTACAAAGTTATACAGTAATTACTGTAACATCGAATGCTGTTTTTCAAAACCTTCTCAAACTTAATCCCAAAAAAGCTCATGGTCCGGATGGCATACCGTCCTGGCTCGAGATCAGTTTTAAACTAGGTAAAATTCATCTTCATCAAAGGAATTTTTGTCTAAAATAAGGAAATTTTGAGCAGTTGGGAAGAAAATTATTTTTTTGAAACTGGAAGTGGAAGCACTGAATTTACAACCCCGCCATATTTTTTATAATCAGTTCGTGATTTCGAAGTTACAATATTTCGCTCGATATTTCGAGCCGATGAAGCTTTATTAACCGTTAATAATCGAAGGTAAAACTTCAGGGATGATTGAGTAATGTCCAGGTAAGAATCTTGTTATGTTTTATGAATAATAGAGCAATTTTGAAAGGAAGTATTTGCTTTTTTCATTCGTGAATTTTGAGAATGCACGTGTTTGATGACCTCTCATGTTTCGGCTTAAAATTTAAATTTGCCGCGACAATTTCGAAGTAATATTTCGCTCGATATTACGAGCCGATGAAGCCTTAATAAGCGAAGATGAAACATCAGGGATGACTGAGTAATATCCAGCTAAGAATCTCGTTAGGTTTGTGTATA